TGTGCTAAACTCTGGTTATGCTAGTGTGTTAACATGTGTTAACACTACCTATGTTTCTAGTGTAGACATGGCCCAAGTTTCTTTACTGACACTGCTTAATCGTCTCCAGTGTCAGATGTCTCAGACCTGTTGCCCTGAAAAGTGCCATCACACAGCTCACTTTCTGGTGTTACCAATACCTTTAATGTCTGATGCTATCAAGAAATTTCCAAAATTGGCTTGGTGTTTTCTGTTTGGGTCAATGTGATGTCGGGGTCAGGTATTATAATCCAGCCTTGATGTCAATCCTGTTTGATTTTTGTACCATATACCTCTGTTTCTCCAGGTTTAACTAACTGCTGCTGTGTGTACTGATTAAGATGTGCTGGCCCTTTAATGTGAATTATCTTAAAGACACCACACGGTAGCATGGCTGCTGGAGGCATCTTGGCATGGGCTCAGGATGGCAGACAGCTGACTTCTGTGCACGTCCAGAGATGTCTGGCCCTCCCCGTGTCAGCACCTGGCTGGAAGTTCCCCTTGCAGAGGGGTTTGGCATGTTGTCTGTGTGTGGTGAGCAAGGCACCAGAAACACCACCACTTTGCACTGGTAGCGTGTTTCCAGCAGCATGTCTGCTTTGAGCTCTAAGCCTGCTGCCAGGGAAAGGTTTCAAGATCCTTCCTTAATCCCCCAGTCCTGTTCTAAGATTTCTCTATGATCCTTGCAGCTTCTCGGGGCTGCATTTTCTGTCTTGTTTTCTCCATTCAGCAGCCTTTGTGTGATTTTCTGGGTCAGCTGTGTTACACTCTGGTGACTAAGACAAGCGTCTGAAGTTCCTGATGTTGGAGAAGAGACAGGGCTCTGGTGTTGTCAACACAAAGCGGGTTCTTCATTGTGGCTGGTGGACAGACACAGACTCTACCACTCTCTGGCTTGCGCTGGGGAGTGAAACGTATGCTGCACGGCTATCACCCAGGGACTGTCTAGCGCCTCGGCCCCGGGAGAGCAGTCGTTGAGCCCACAGACGTTAATAGCTTTAGCCTCAGGACCCCCAGCAGGCAGGATAGTATTAGCCTCCCTGTACAGAGAGGAACTGAGACAGGCTTTGTTACATGGTTTGCGTGAGGTCACACGGGGAATCTGTGGCTGAGCTAGGAACTGAAGCCGGATGTGAGTCACATGCCGTGAAGCCTGCCTTAGAGGACCTGCAAGGTTTGTTATCTGCATCCTCGCTCAAAACTGCCAGGAGTCTGAAGGGGGCTTTAAAGTGGTTGCTTAAGGGGTGTGCATGTTGGAGTGCTACCTAATGAGCATGCTTCCTGCTGCAAGTCTCCCTGCCTGGAGAGCTGCGTCTAGAACCGGACTGGCTGGTGCTGAAGTGCTGGCCTTATGGTGGGGGTTTGATGTGACTAGCTGAAGGGGAGAGAAGCTTGCAGTCCTGGCTTTGCACGGCCTTCTGCTTGCTGCTCACAGTAGGGCTGGCTCCAGCTGTATGTGGCTCTGAGCCTGGGAGGAGATTCATGGCTAGTGACATCGCTGTGCTCAGGAGGAGGACACTGTAATTACTTCCCATGGTGAGACTAATGAGTGCCTGGCTCCTTCCTTTCCCACATCAGTCTCTGTTCACAGGCTGTCCGCCTGAGGCTTGTGCAGTGACCAGCAGGCCGAGCCTCTCGCCTTGTGTCGGGCTCGATAAAAGATGCAGGATGAAAAGTCCTGTCGCTGGGAGATAAGACACAGGTGTTAGGTGAATTCAGGGATTGATTTGTCTCCAGCACTGGCCCACTTCTCAGCTCTGTTCCAAGTCTTCCCAGGACCCGGCTGCCTGGCTGCCAATCGCCTTGCTGGAGGGAGGCGTTGTACTCTCTCTCCTTTGCCTTTGTGGGTTTTTCTCTTTCTCTCTCTCTTCCCCCTAATCTAAAGCTGCTGCCCCTCCTGGTTTCCCTTTTCTCCGGATGGCTGATAAATAAGGCTTCATTGGTTCCAGTACAGAGTGAAATATGAAATCCCATAAAGCCACCTCGCTTATTAGATGGGTCTCAGCAAACTGCTTATTATGCACTGCGGCATAACGCAGATTACAAATGTGCCCAAACGATAATTAGCAGAGCTGGAACTGTAATTAAACACGCCTGTGCTGCACTGTGGTTTCTGTTGCAAAGTGGAAGGAAGCTGAACGGTTTCAAAACCCACAGGTGCCCTTCCTTTCCTCTGCCACACAAACAAGCGATCAGCCACTGCTCCCAGCGCTGACTAGCAAATGACACTCGGGGCTGAATGCTTCCCCACCTGACGCTCCATTTCTGCTAGTCCTGTGCTGTCAGCCAAGTTGTGTCAATTGCACATGGTTCCTCTCCAGCTATTTCACTGCAGGGGACTGGCGTTAATTTGTAAATGGATGGGAGTTGGAGGCAGTCTCTTTGCTTGTGCTAGGGGCTCAGGGAGAGGGGTTTTCTGGAGCTGTTTGCTTTCTTGGTCCCTAGCGATTCCCAGGGACTCGTTGTTTACGTGAGATTTGCTGAGGTGCCGAGTGAGGCCCCCCCCTCTGCACATGTGGCTCCAATCTGCCCCAGTGAGGATCAGCGCCCCCTCTTGGGCAGGGAACTATGTGGAAGGCAAAATTCTTTCATCTCCGATCCTTCAGGGAGAACAGGCCCAAGGGCAGCGCCAAAAGGGGCTTGGACAGCACAAGTGCGGGGTGTGGCAGTCTCTCCAAAGGGTTGTCTCAGAAATGAAGGCCAAGGGCCTGGATCCTGAGGGATTTGGTGCTGTCAGCAGAAAGCCAGGCCTTCTGTCAGGAGAAGCCCTCTGCCGCTGAGTGCGGGGAGACTGTAGCTCAGTCACTACGGAGGAAACCTTGGGGCTGTCTTTAATGCTTATCACATTGGATTCGCTTTGATGGGCTGTTCAGAGGAGACGGGGACAAGGAGCTGACTGCAGGCCAGCGGCGCTTTGCCCTGTCTGCTTTAGTAACATGGGCAATGGCAAATCCATCCACCCAGCTTCTCCTGCCAGCATGTGGTGAACTACTACATTTTACACCGGTGCTGCCCACTGCCTTAGAACACCCCTTTGCCTCCTGCTCCTCCAGCATCGGTGGCACGAAGCTTGGCCCCCTCCCCTGTTCAGCCTGGGGACGCCTGCTCCTGAGAATTCAAGGGGGCTTTTCAGACTGCTTGGTGCTAATGGAGTTGCAAATGTCCCTGAGGTGGGACTTGGGTGTGGGGAGATGCGGGAACTTAGGCCCCACAGCAGAAGTCATGTGGAGTGAGGCTGGGCCTGATATGACAGCTGAGGTTCAGTGTGTGGTCTTGTACTCCAGCTAACAGTTTCATAAAAAGGCAAGCTTAGCAAAGGTCTCTCTCTCTGTGACAACAGGCAGCTAAGGATAATGTTTTGGCAGCTGTTCAGGGACCAGAATTTGTCTCAATGGGAGTCTGAACATTTTGTAGCTGTTGACAGTTGAGTGCCACAAATAGCGATGACTTTATGGTTGGTAATGCCGGTAGGGCCGTCCCCAGCAGGCAGGGCACCTCCTGGCAAGCAGCTTGGAGACCTCTTCTTCCTGCCTCTCTGGGGCTGAGGACAGAGGGAACAGCCAAGCTTCCCATGGTTCTAGCTCCAGGGCTGTGCCAAGCAGCAGGCTTGCAGGGGCATCTCCTGGCTAGTTCACTGCTGGATGCTGTGGAGGTCTGTCCCAACTCCCGGAGTGGCTGCGTTGCAGTTTGCTAGCTTGCTGGTGACTTGCACGGGAGTGGTTTCCTTAGTGTCTGCTGCTGCTTTGAGCTGCTCAGCATCTTATCGAGATCAGAATCCCTACCCCCCGGGGAGGAGGTCAGAGCACAGCCCAACCAGCCAGCATGGGTAGTGCTGCAAATCCCCATTGCAAGGGTACGGTTGGAGGGCTGATTGAGTGTGGGTGGGAAGGCTGCTTTAGCTGGTGGGAGGTGAGAAAATGAGCTACGCTGTCTGGGCACTGGAGACACAGGCTATATACCGAAGCATTCCTTTGGCTGGCAGTCTGGACAGGGCTCTGAAATGAATCAGCCCTTTGACTTTTCTCTTCTGTCACACGGTGCTGGACCACGGAGCGTCAGCTGGGGTGACTTTCTAACCTGCTCAGCCATCTGAGCAGGCTGCTTGCATAGCCGAGAGGCTGTGAGCCTGGTTTACTGAGCTGGGGGGTTGGGGTGGAAAGGGCCACAGGGTTTGTCTGTGCTCCACCCAGTTCAGCTGAGTTCTCTGCTTTCCATGCAGACCTACCCCAGCTCTGGCACTGAGGAAGTGACTTTCATGTGCGAGAGAAGCAAGATGGCTGGGTTTCCTCTTCAACATGAGAAACCCCCTGGGTCATCCCAGCAGGGCTCTGGTGCATGGAAAGCAGAGGTGTAGGGATTAGTCTATAAACAGGCAGGGAGGTTGCTGGGGGTCAATCTGGCCTGGGGTAGAGCTGGGGAGAGGCCATTGGGATGGAACAGGTATCTGAAGGCTGCCAGCTGCCTCTCCTGCCTTGCCCCAGCCAGCCTGGCAGAATTCTGTGATTCCTTCCGTCAGATCCAGGGCTGCTTTTCCGGGTGTTGACGTTCAGGCAATAGCCAAACCAGATCAGTCGCCAGGCAGAGTGACTGGCTGGCTACGGGAGACTGGGAATCCTGTGCTGGAAAGGCTTTTCATCATTGAAAGCATCCCAGCTAGAGGCTCTCCGGCAGGGCTGAGGTCCAGCAGGTCTCCAGCTGAGGAACATGGGTGGGGCCTAGACTCTGTTTGTAAAATGCTGTCCTTGCAGTGGGCTGTAGTTTATAGGCATATCGGGACTGGAAAAGACCTATTAAGTCCTAGTCCTGTGATGGAGGATGGATGGGCTGTCAACCTGCTCCGAGCAAATGGGTCAAATGGGAGAGTGGCAGGAGGGGGGCGCCCTGATTTGTGTTCTCCAGGAAGGCAGGACAGCCTTGTTGGTGTTTGCTTTCTCCTTGGTGCTCTCCCCAGTGGTCACTGGTGTATTTCTCCTTCCCCGCAGATGGAGTCTCCAGTCTCCACGCCTGCAGTGTTGCCCTTGCATCTCCTGGTCCCAGTTGTCAATAATGACATCTCATCGCCGTGCGAGCAGATCATGGTACGCACTCGCTCTGTGGGGGTGAACACCTGCGATGTGGCATTGGCTACCGAGCCAGAGTGTCTGGGTCCTTGTGAACCTGGCACCAGCGTCAACCTGGAGGGCATCGTCTGGCAGGAGACGGAAGATGGTAAGTGCCTTTGGAGAGCTTGTCTTTCCTCTTCCACAGTTGGATTGTTGTTTGTCATACCGTTGTGTTTATTGCCAGGTGCGCGCACACTGCTGCATCCCCAGCACTACCCTTCCAGGCCTAGGAGGGGTGAGGTATTCTTGGAGGACTGTAGCTGGGATGGGAGGAGTTCAGAGGGCATGTCTCAAGGGTCACTTCAAAGTGTCAATCTATACAGCAAATCCAGTAACAGTAACAAGTGTGTTCCCTTAGCCCCTAGCCCAGACAGGGAATAGAAACACCCAGCGCCCAGTAGTGCCGTTGTCACATGAATTAAAACTGATAAAGAAGGGAGCGCACCAGGCTGCCTCCCTCTTCCAAACTGAGCTTTGTTCATGTTCCTGAATCTCTCCCAAGGCCACACGTAACCAGCGAGGCAGCAGGAGGCTCTTGCTGAGTAACTGATCCAGTCAAGCTCTCACAACAGGCCCTAGAGGAGATCAGGGTTCCAGGCCAAAGGAGCCTTTTTCAGCTGGGCGCTGATCTGGTCTTGTGCTCAAGGCCTGGCTTTGTGTTCCCAGTTCATGAGAGTTGATGAGGTTTAGCTGCTGTTGGACCCCTGCCAGCACCTCTGTCCCAGGTTATTTGGAGAGCTCAGAGCACAGATCTCTCCAGGTATGAGAGGCACAAACCTGTGCTCGTCCCTGAAGTTGAGACCAGTTGTCATCATGAGCTCTCTCCACAGCACCATGTGCCTCTTTAACTGCCTCTGTAGGAGTGTGTAAATCTGGAGGCTGTGAGGTGAGCACAGATCAGAGCAGTGTGTGCGCGGCATCCTGGTAGTGCTGTGGGTGAGTTCAGCTTCCCCGCAGCTGCCATTGTTTAATGGGGCAAGGGAGGGTGCTCCAAAGGCAATGCAGAGGTGCTTAGAGAGGAGAGCCATTGGCGAACCAAGGGAGTGGGTTTGGGCAAGCAGACCTTGCGAGACCCAGGGTGTGCATTCTCCTCAGGCCAGGTGCCAGGCTGGCTGAGTGATGGGATCGGCACCACCTTCTCTTTATGGTCTATTCCTAGTCTAGAATTACTACCTGTGTGCACAGGAGCCAGTCCTAAGGTACCTGCCCTTTTCCTGACTCCCTCTGAATTGGCTGTGTGCAGTGCTGGGGATTACTTTTCCGGGGTCAGTGTATTGAAAAGATCTGGAAGTAGATAGCCCATTGCTGTTTCCCTTGCATTTGCTTGGCTCAGAACATTCTGGATTTGCCTTTTTGAAAGTGGCCTTGTAGCTCATGAAATACAGGGGCTATTCGTGTGAACACCCATGAAATGAACGTTGGGTGAATGTCACACAACTAGTTACTGAAGGAAGCACCAGAATGTGGCTCCTTGTTGGAAACTCCTCAAGCTTCAAAATTGGGTTGGAGAGTACAGAAGACCATCCTTCTCTATGAGACTCCAACTGCCTCCTGCTTCCTGGGAGGCTGGAGGTACCTTGCGAATATCCTTTCATGTGGCACATCTGGTCCCAGCTGGAACTGGGATGTGGGAACAGAACCCAGAGGGGGTGGTGGCAGCACTTAGTGACAATCAGATGCCTCAGAGAAGCTCATTCCTAGAAATGGACACCCCTGCGTCTGTTCTTCCCTCACTAATGTCTGTTGGGGACTGCCGGGGGCATAGGTAGTGCTCTTGTGATTGCTAGTACAGAAACTCCCTTGGTTGGCTCAAATGATCATTACAGCTTAAACCTAAATCTCCATAGGCAGGGGTACACTCCATA